GAAAGTTTGGTTGATTTTAAATAAGTATCTTGTTAATGAAATGAAAGGTTTATCTTAATTTTTATCTATTTTAGGGGTTTTGTTTTAAGTTTTTGGATACTTTTTGTTAAATCAACCCAAATTTTCTTTGTATAACTATAATATTGAGAGGTCTAAGAAAATGTTGTTTATGCTATTCTGTTCCAACAAGGTTCGGAAAGACATTTTATTTCATTCTCAAGAATTCGTAAAAAGGAACAAAAAACAATTACATAAAAAAATGTTAACAAAAACAGTTATATAAAATATATATGCATTATTTTTGCATTAAATTGTTGCCAATCAGTCAACATTACATAAAGGACCGTGTATTTTACAGAATGTTTCCTATAAATGGTTTAAGAGAAAAACATTGTTGAATTCAGTTCACCATATCGATACTTATCCTTTGACTTTCTTAGACATCAGTGGGTCTTTTTTTGATTAAATAAACCTAAATTTGAACCCAGAAGGTCAAAATAAAGGTCAGATTTGAGTTCCCGGGGATTTGTAGTTGATTTTTAAAAATAAATTGGTCAATTTGAAGCAATATGACCAATTTTTTTTCGTCAATTATCTCAAAAACGGTAAAGATTTAACGCAAACATATAGTAAGCAATTTGTAGGGAATGCTTATCTAGTTACATTTTAATTCATTGCAAGAAATAATCATGAAATATGAAGACGAAATCTGAGAAACTTAAAAAAACTCTGATTTGACCTAGATTTGGCCTTTGACCTTGACCTAGATAAAAATTCCTTCCCTGCCAAGTGCAGCTCAGGTCCTTAGTAGAAGCATATAAGAGTTATCTCAGACCTAGCTAGAAGTAGTAGAAAAGTGGTTAGGAGGAATAAATAAAAAAAATAAATAAAGAATATCCATAAAAACTGGTGGTATCCTTTGAAAATGTAAAAATGGGCACCAATAATAATAGGCTACAATATAGAATACTACAATCTATTGAGACTATATAACATACAATACAATATAAACGGTACAGACGGTTAATAATTTTACACATGATATATCAATGCAGGATTCGAACCTGGAACCTAATAAATACAAACACAATTAATAAATACGCATTATGCCAACGCCTATACCATTACGCCACAGTGGGAGAGATGCCGATATCCGATTTCGACTACACTATAACTTGGATCCTAGTAACTACAAGTATTAAATCCTATCAACGGGGGACATTACAATCTGTTACTGGTGTGACAGATCCGAGAGTCTCCCCAGTTATAACTGTCTCCCCATTTACCCTTGTTGATATAGGAAATAAACCTGGTTTTCAATGTCCTCCAATGGGTCCTACGGACCCCGATCCCTAGGGTTGGCTGTCCCACGGACACTGACCACCGGGGGACACTTAAATCTGTTACACCGCCTTTGTTATACAGTACTGAATCTTTTCTTGGGAGGACTTCCTGATACAACTTCACCGTCTGTCATATCGGATAAAAATAGTTTTTTATTAAATTTCCGGGAATTAGGTGATGTGACGTCATTTTAATTGAATATACAGTGGTATTCACTAAGAATGACGTCACTGTCGGTGAATACACTCTTCGCACGTTTTCTAAGCAGGGAGACATGGAATACTTCTATATATTTTTAGTCACATGGTATGTAATTGACCAATGAGAGAACGAGTATCACGGCATGGAAATAATAATTATGGCAATTGCCCACATGTACATATTGTGACACCATAGTAATAAAACTATGCATGCTTTAAAGACATTAAAGATATTATTGCGTCCTGTTGCATTTTGTAAGATTCAAAATGTCATAAAACACTGTTTGGCTGTGAATCATCTCCTTTGTTAAACACTCTCATAAATTTTGCATTAAAGTAATATTTTTTTACTTTTAAAGTAGAAAATAAAACGATGGGCCGCCAAGAAAAAGAAAAAAAATCATTTTGAGCTTTGCGATTACGTTACGTCTTGCTTAACCTATCTATCTATTGCGAAGCTCTACACGCCCATAAGTGTGATATTCTCGATTTACTAGTACAAGAATATCACACTTACGGACGTATAGAGCTGCACATGAAAGAAAAATCCAGTACCATTTAAAGGATAGGTATCGATATGGTGAACTGAATTCAACAATGTTTTTCTCTTAAACCTAGACTCGCCAACCTCCCGTTTTTAACAGGAATCTCCCGTAAATTTTTTGTTTTTCCGTAAAAATACCAATCTCCCGTACCGTTTTCTCCCGTACCATATTTCTACTAAAATCTCCCGTAATTCTTTTCAAAATATGGCCGTAAAATCTCCCGTATTTTTGCTGAAATCTCCCGTAAAATCTCCCGTATTCTGGTATAACTCCCGTAAAATCTCCCTTTTTTGGTATAACTCCCGTAAAATCTCCCGTTTTCTGGTATAACTCCCGTAAAATCTCCCGTATTCTCTGGTTTAACTCCCGTAAAATCTCCGCTTTTTGCTCTCGAAATCTACCGTATTTAAAAGGAATTTGACAAATTTGTGACCTTGATTATTGCAGGCACGCTTCTTTCTTTTACTCCAAGAAGGATTGGCTCCCATGATTCACTATCGATACTTTCATAAATAACTTAAAAGTACTTCATTCCCATGAATCAAATTGCTTTTCTGCGATCAGTTCGGTATAAGATTGCACACCAAATGTCCACAAACGGGGGGCAGTTCATATTCTGTCATACTTCTGTCGGGAGAATACATTTTGTAATACATTTACCGTAAAAACTCCCGTTTTTTCCAAATCTACCGTAAGAACTCCAGTTTTTCAGAAATCTACAGTAAAAACTCAGGTTTTCAGAAACCTACCGTAAGAACTCCCGTTCTTTCAAAATCTACCGTAAAAACTCCCGTTTTTTCAAAATCTAAAGTAAAAACTCCCGTTTTTTTCAAAATCTACCGTAAAAACTCATATCAAGAATATCACGTCATTTTACCACGTGCTTTTTTGATTGTATATGTGAATAATTACATAACGTCACATCTCGATTATCCAATCACGTCAATGGTATATTAGTCAATTTCCCCGAGAATTCGACTTTAATACTCTTTTCGTCTGTTGTACCAAGATTAGGCGCCATATTTGAACATTTTAGAATTATATGGCTATGAAACTCCGTGCTAGAAGCCACGTAAATTACGAAGAAGAAAGTGATTCTCCTATCTTGGTAATTAAAAATAAAGAAATTAGAAACCATAAGTTATCTCGTGTTTTGATTAAAATTAAGACATCCTGTAACAATCTATTGATTTAATTAGACTTTGGGAAAATGTACGTACGTACAGAACACTTGATAGTATTGAAAACAATACTATAACCAGAATGGTAAAGTTGGGTCATTTCAAATGGCGAATCGCAAAATAAAAACGGACGTCGTAATTAGCAATTTTCAACGTTTAAGGCTGCTATGTTAATAAATAGAATTCTAATTGGCCATTTGATAAATGGCCCATTTTCATTTTCTGGGGGAAGCTTATTTTTTAAAGCCCTTGTTTATTTATTTATTTATTTTATTTATTTATTTGCCAAACACTTTTTAATCAGTGGCACAATGGAAAATTCCAGTGCGGCAGTACATAGAACAAATACATATTCATAAAATACAATACAATACAGATAGATAGATAGATAGATAAAATAAATATGTTAAATTGTACATATGTTATGAGTTTAAAATATCGTTATTAATAGTCACTAAAAATTGTTTGACACACTTGTCAAACAAGAATCCTTGGTCTTTGCCCCAAATACTAAAAACAACATCTCCTAGGCACCACTTTAATTTTTCATTTAAAGGAAGCGTTAAGAACATATTAAATACATCAGGGGAGCATGAGGTTTTAATTCTGTTGTAAAAAACAATTCTTTCACGTTGGTTGTGACTACATGTAAAAAATCTGTGTGTTAAATCATCAATTGGATGAAGGGAACAAAGTTTGCAAAAACCATCATCACATTTTCTTCTTTTGAGGTCAATTCCAATACCTAAACACCCAGTTCTGGCTTTGAACTTCAATCTCTGTCCAACAAAATCATTACTTGAAGTAAGGTAATTCTCCAGAAATGGGGTTTGTTTGATTGATTCATAAAATTCTAGTGAAGATTTCGAGGAACATTCAGATAGAAAATTACTTTTGTGTTGTTGGGAGGATATGGTCAAAAAAGAATCATACCATTCATTGTCATCTCTAAACACAACGCCATGTTCAATTAAAATGTCTTGTATGTTTTCAAAATATGGCCAACATGTTTTTACTCTTCCCTTGAAATTTTCAAACAGTTTATCAAAAATAGCATTATGTAGGCCGTTCCTCATGGAGAACTTAAGATATAGAAAATAATCAATTTGTCTTTTCTGGATAATGTTAATAATGCTTCTCCAGCCAAGGTCACCTAACATTGCTGCCTTGGCAGGGTTACATTTAAGTTGAAAAATTGATTTGGCCAATTTATATTGCATTGAAGAAAGGGTCTTTTCAGAGGTCTTGTCAAGAATTAGAACACCACATCCATGCAACAAAGCAGGGAGGTACTGGGAGTAGTATAATGTATTACCAAATGATATTCTATTATAGTTAATATGCTTAGTTAGGGTTGTGCAACTAGATTTCTTAACTTCTTATCCTTTTCTTTTAAAACAACATTCACGTGGTAGTTATCTCTTAATTGCCTATTTAGATGGATGCCAAGATATTTGTAAGTATCAACTTCTTTGATTTCAAGGTCACCTAATACCCAAGTTTTATTTTTATCTATTCGCTTGCCAATAACCATTACTTTAGATTTATTGGGGTCGAATTTGAATCCCCAGCAAGAACCAAACTGATCTGCAATTTTTAGCATATGATTCAGTTGGCTCTCACTTTCAGCCATAAGAACAATGTCATCAGCAAAAAGTAATGTTGGGACTCTAATGTTATTAAATGGAATACCAAGGTTTTCTTTATTCAGTCTATCAACTAAGTCAGTCATGACTAGTGAGAATAGGGATGGGGATAAACAACAGCCCTGCTTTAATCCAGAAGTACTAGAATACCATGGAGAGGTAAAATTACCAAAAATAACTTTATTACAAACATCCCTGTAAGCCTCATGGAGCAACCGCCATATTTTTCCTTGAATACCCATTTCCCAAAGTTTCACAAATAACATATTGCGGTCAATAACATCAAAGGCCTTAGAAATATCCAAAAATGATAAAAATGTATTTTTCTTAGAGGATTTACGAAGTGAGCATAAACCTTTTAGAGCAAAAATGTGTTTTTCAAGTCTAAGATTTTCCCTGAAAGCTCCCTGGGAATCACCAAGAAGGTCACATGACTCTGAGTTAAGTTTAATTTTACTATCAAGTAGACTAGTATAAATTTTATAAACATTGGAATTCATGGTGAGACCTCTGTAATTATTTAAGTCAATGTTTAAACCTTGTATTGATCTTTATTTTATTACGTTCAATCTAGATCTTCCAATAACCATTTCGAGTAAATTCTGATATTAACAAAAAAATTTTTTACAGCAAGTTAAAGATGTTGAATTTGCCCATTTTTACCATATTTTCGCTAAAACTATGACGTCACGCTACCACTCCCCATACAAAGTGATTTTAAAACACGTTTTTTCTGGGGAAAGCTTATTTTTTAACGTTGGGAATTCATTTTTTCGCTGTCTTACTCATAATAGTGTCATGCATAATATACCATTTCGAGTAAATTTGAGATCGTAAATTATCACACACTTTATCTACTTTTAAAGTTTTCCTATAGTAATTTCCCATTGACAATAATCTGTGACGTCATATGTCAGAATTTATGTTAATGAGCAAATGACGTGATATTCTTGATATGTCCCGTTTTTTCCGAAATTTACCGTAAAAACTCCCGTTTTTTCCAAAATCTAAAGTAAAAACTCCCCTTTTTTCAATATCTACCGTAAAAACTCCCGTTTTTTTCCGAAATTTACCGTAAAAATTCCCCGTTTTTTCCCAAATCTACCGTAAAAACTCCCCTTTTTTCCGATATCTACCAGAAAAACTCCCGTTTTTCAGAATCTACCGTGAAAACTCCCGTTTTTCAGAAATCTACCGTAAAAACTCCCGTTTTTCAGAAATCTACCGTAAAAACTCCAGTTTTAAAAAGAAAATCTACCGTAAAAACTCCCGTTTTTTCAAAACCTAGCGTAAAAACTCCCGTTTTTCAGAACCTACAGCAAAAACACCCGTTTTTTCTGAAATCTTCTGTAAAAAAGTCACGTTTTTTCAAAATCTCCCATAAAACTCCAGTTTTTTTAAATTTCCTGCAAAAACTCCCGTTTTTTAAATCTCCTGTAAAAACTACCGTTTTTTCAAAAATCTCCCGTAAAAACTCCCGCTTTTTTTAAAAAAACTCCCGCAAAAACTACCGGATTTTGTGAAAAACTAGAGTAAAAGTACCACAATTTTTTTAAATCTCCCGAAAATTTTTCATTTTAGGTTGGCAAGTCTGTAAACCGATTATTGAAAACATTCTGTAAAAACATGGTCCTTTATGTAATGTTGACTGATTGGCAACAATTTAATGCAAAAATTATTTATATATATATTTATATAACTGTTTTTGTTAACATTTTTTGTTTTTAGTGCAATTGTTTTATGTTCCTTTCTACCAATTCTTGAGAATGAAATAAAATGTCTTTCCGAAACTTGTTGAAACAGAATAGCATATACAACCAACATTTTGGTTTATTCAACAAAAAGTATGCAAAAACTTAAAACAAAACCCCCCAAAATAGATAAAAAAAATTATTTCATTAACAAGATACTTTTCAAAAAGTTCACCATATCGATACCACTCCTTTGCAATCTTTCACGTATGTATGCCATCTTTAAATCTTCTCATTGATTACGATGACACCAAACACTATTGTAAAATATTAGAAGGAACCTTTATGTCATTTCAGGAGAGCCCCACTACCCAAACAACTGATATCACTGATACAAGTTTAACCGACACCAGGCCAGAGCCGGTATGCCTTTTCACAAACAAGAGGTCCATTGTCTTAAAAAAAAGATCCACTCTTATACAACCTTGTTTAGCCAATTAAAGAATTCAATCAAAATTATATTAATGCAATATAAGTACGAATAACTAAATAATATTTATCATCACAATGAAGGGAAATATTGTTATGACCAGCTATGTCTACTATATATGGTTACACTTTTGTTTTGTCAACATGGATTGACCTTTTGTTAACATATATGTTTTGAGCGATACTGTTTCTTTCCAGAGCGTTTTCCAGATTTACCCAATCGATGTGTCTACAGCTATTGCCACTGATACTAACCCAACAAGAGACGATTCCGACGAGCCAGCTTCAGTAAGTGAAAATGATCATGTTGAAATATGTTTTAAAATTCTGAATTGGCGAAGAGTAGTTTAGTATATTCTTAAGATTTGACACCAGGATAAACTTCTGACGTCGCTTTTGGAAAATGCTTTAAGAGTTCGCCGCAACATCCCATTATACTGTTCATTGATTCAGAAGATTTGGGTGGTAATGTACATGTAAGGTTTATTAGAACGGTCTACAGACCGATTCGTCGGCCAATGCCTGCCCGATTGGGTATTTTGTTAAAAATTGTACCATTTTGACCAGAATACTCAATCGGCCGGGCGCCAGCCGTTGAATCGGAGCAAAAGTGAACAGGCATTAGTGGCTGATTATTGATTTCAGCTCAGTGTCAATAGTGTAAGCGACCCCAAAGAAGACCTTAATGATTTGTTGAAGGAGCCGAAGGCTAAAGACGATAGAAGACAGGAAAAAGAAAACAAAGTACGAGAAGACGAAGATAAATTACGTAAAGATGCAGATGAAAGAAGAGCAAAAGAGGATGACATCCTTACTACCAGTCAGAAAAATATACACACAACTGCACAGAAGTTTATCAGTTATAATATTGAGGTTATTATTCTCAATTTCTCAATCAGTGTATAAATATTTTGCCTAATTTCATGAATATTGATGAAGTAAACATTTAAAATGCATTGATTTTATACTAGAATGACATAGACTAATATTGTGTTAGTATAATTTCAGGTCGAAAGTCAAGAAGTTGAATGCCAGACCGATGCGCGAGATTTTGGGACAGAACTAGATAAGCGCGATCCGTCATTTAGTGTTACGCCATGCAATTATTTTCATTCTGACATTGGCACACGTATTAAAGAGGTTGAAGTAGACAAAAGCGGTTCGACTAAGAATGAGGTGATGCTTATTAATATTTTATTTCGTTCTTATCATTTAAAATTAAAAATCTAAGAGGTTTCATTTGGAGAATCGAGAACTTTTAATTTGTGGGCAAATTAACGATAATTGATATTATTTTAAATTTCATGAATTCTGCTATTCTACCGCATCCTGCGCCATATGTATTGAGATCAGCGACACTATATATGTGCTATTGTGCTGTCAACACAACTGTTTACCATGACCATACAATATATATTGAAAATATTGCTTATTATTTCTTAAAAACAGCTTTAATGGTGATTTTAGAGGGTCATATCTTTCACAAAGAGTACTTTCTGGGCATAAATACAATGTTTTTATTAAAACAATATGTTTTCTTTCAAGTGAAGTACCCATGATCATTAAAATATCAATCGAACAATTCGAAAATGTTTGAATATGGACCCCATCTCAACATTTTTTTCAAAATATTGAACCTATTTACTCAAAAGAGGATCTCCCATTTCTGATTTTTATTGCATGAAAAGATTATTCAACAAGGGGCTAAAACATCTTGAAAAATATAATTGTATTGAAAGTCCAGTTTTGAAGATATCAATTTTCGATGACCAAAATGATGCTGAAAACAATGGATAGCACGAGTTTTCCATATGGGGAAATAAAATGGGATATGTGGTTTTTAATTTTAATGCATTTCAATACACATCCCCTTTTCGGAAATTCATATAGTGTACAAGAAACTTTTGATATGTTTAAATTGAGAAAAGCAAGATCCTCTTTTTAGAAAATAAGCCTAACATTTTTTTTAAAATGCCAGGGTGGGGCCCTAATCCATAATTTTTCAGAGAGTTGGATTGATATTTTACTATCATGGGTACTTCACTCGAAAGAAAACACATTGTTTCAATAAAACCATTGTTTTTATGGCCTGAAAGTACTCATGGTGAAAGATATGGCTGTCTAAAATCACTTGCCATACTGCACGTGGTCCTTTTGCTATGGAAACTCGGACAACATAACAGATTATGCATCAAGTCCGTCGATGATTTCTAACTGGTTAATAAAATATGTTTCCCACCATCTCTCAAAGGGGTTGTTTGATATGTCGTTCTCATTAAAAACTAACACGTTTTATAATGTCCATATGTTTTGTATCCTCCAACACATACTTAACATATTCAATTTACTAAAAAATCGAATTTATTGAGAATTTATATAACAATCATTTAAATACTACATTGGATTAGTCTTCTGAAAATAATTGTTTGAAATAATAATGTGCATTCATTTAATCTTCATGTTTGGAGGATACACAATATTAGACAGCAGAACCTAAATCCACCACAAAAATAACAATATTTTGCCCAATGTTTTCATTGTCTGTCATTTAAGAGGTAACCCAAAGGGCACTTTCTGGCGAAATCTCAAACAAATGATGCATCAGCAATGTTAATTTAAACAGTGTGTTGGAGGATACAAAATATTAGACAAATGGTATATGCATAGGGAAGGCATTTCATTGCATGGGTTACACATCTAACATCGCCCTTTTAAGACCTGATGTCAAACATATTTTCTATATAGTATGAAAAAAATCAACGCAATCGATGCTCTGTATGTACTGTAATTCGGTTTTGTATCACCACAAACAAAACAAAACTTTGTTTTTGACAAAAAATCATCATTTAAGCTGTTTTGAGAAATAATAAGCAATAATTTCAGTATACATCACATGATTATGATAACTAGTTGTGATGACTTTAAAATAGCACAGATCAACACACTACTATACCCCCCATACTGTATCCTGTATTCCTTTAAAAGAAGTACAGGCTACAGGGAAGTTGCAAATGGAGGACGTTTGTTTATTTCCATAGTTCTGAATGTATACTAGATTTTACACAGTGTTCTACTATACATTGTATAGATTCATCGAGCAGTTTGCAACGTATTATTACCAGAAAAGCCCAATGGACAAAGATAGAGAATACCCGCTCCATTTGCAACTTAACCGTACCCTGTATCATTTTTTAATGTGGCCACGTGGTAGGGTAGTGTGATCAAATGTACCTTGTATCAACACACACAGCACAGGCTTCAGTAAAACAACTGATTTTGAAAATATCAATTATCGCAAAGGTCCATGTGCAGTATGGCAAGTGATTTTAGACAGCCATATCTTTCACCATGAGTACTTTCTGGATATACCATACTTTTTCTTTTAAGTAAAGTCCCCATGATAGTAAAATATCAATTGTTTTAATGAAAACCACTGTATTTATGCCCAGAAAGTACTCATGGTGAAAGATATGACCGTCTAAAATCACTTGCTGTACTGCACATGGACCTCTTGTACATGAACCCCCTTGTACATGAACAATATGTCAATGTGTTTATATTCGTTTGCTTTTTGATGTTCTATAGATACATTTGATATTTTCGATTGTTGAATTTGTGATTATATTAAATCAATGTTGTATTCCATGCTGTCTTATTGGTCTATACGATACATGTGTACTGTGGCAAAAATAAAATACGTATTCATCGTCTAAGCAAAAGGTGTATTCGATAAAATAAAATATTTCATACTATTTTGGATGAAGACCTATTGAACTTTCAATGATTGTGCAAGGTGTATGATCATTCGGGCTTGGGGAATTACGTTGCTAGAATCATTGAAAGATTTAGTTGTGATATCTGATATTGTGGCATGCCCAATGTTGGTAGATAATCGGTTTACTTGTCTTAATGCTACATATAAATCATTTTCGTATCACAAAGGACCTTATACACCCTCCATTGGGATCTCCCCATGGGAAAAAAATAATTCATCTGATTTTTCAAAATGAGTATTCTGCTTTATGCACACTAGTATCTTGTTGACCTATATTCAGCACTGTATTGATGTATAGGCCACTTATTAGGGTCATAATTCAATCATGAAGTGTAGAGGCATAGATTCCAAACCAGGAAGTATTTTTGTGTCTGTCAAAATCCATTTACATCCTACACATCCCTGCATCTTATCCATAATGACATATTATACTACATAATGACATATAATAGTATAATCTTTGGTTTTACAAACTTGTATGATATTTGATAAGTGTAAAAGTTGTTTTTGGAGCATTTTTCTATAGCCATTTTGTAGGGAAAAAATGATGAAAAAATGTATAATCTTTTAATTTTAAGTATGACCTGAATCGATTGCAAACTTCATATTTGCACATTTGATGAGATAAACCATTTGTGTCGTATTGTGAAATTACTAAGTTTGCAATCGATTCAGGTCATAGTGTATTTTTGGTATTTCTGTGATAATCAATGGAAACCAATGGCCTCTATTGGGATCTGCTGATATCCTCATGTTAAGTCAATGGTGCACTGCCCCATGTAAGTCAATACAACCTTACTGAACTAAATGTCCCTTATCTCAGCTTATGTGTGTCCGAGCACTTTAATATTTTCCAAAGTATTATATGACATTTTATTCTTCATGTTACACCTACGCATGATTCATTTTGACCATAGGGATATTTGCCAATAATTGCACCTTGTCCTTTTTAACTTTCATTATTTTGTTTACTTTATATCATTTAGGCCAAGAATAATCAGTGTAGCAAGCCGGTGGAAAGGTTCAGAAAACCCTTGACTGAGACGGTTGATCTAATTGAATCCAAGATTGAGCAGTCCATGCAAGACGTAAACGAAGAAAAACAAGTATGTCTTTATTCTTGTGTTTTCCTTAAAGTCCCCGTCTAAAGTTTGAAAATATTTTTTTATCATTCATTTACTATTTGTTAGGACTTAAAAAGTGATTTTAGAGATTTTTGAACAAAAAACATTTTTTGAAAAAAAGTTGTGAGCATTTCATTTCTCAAATATTCAAATTTCCCGCCATTTTTCAAAAAAAGTTGAAATTTCTTAATTATCAAATATTTCTTAATGCATTTCAAAAAAGATTATCTTTTTAACACCAATGCAAAGATTGAACAAAAGACACACTATTTCAATAATAAAATGTCATATTTAATGGGCCACTTCAATGTTTTAGCTTATCAAAAATATTTTGAAATATTAGTGATGTCACTAAGGTAACAAAAACTTTGAAAAAATTGAATTTTTTTTTCGATGTCAATCTTTTCTAAATATGCTAGACTTTCATAAAAAACAATGTTGATTGTCTAACCAGGTTAAAAGGAAGAATAAATTATGTTTTAGATATCATTGTACCATTGGTTACTATGAAAACTAAAATTTTGAAACGCATTTTTCTCAGAACCATTTTCATGCACTGATAAGTTCATTTCTCGCTTGTTTATCAACCGATTTTCTTAATTTTTTCGGCAAAAAACATGGGAGGATGAATGCTATGCATTGGTATGAATTGTGGCTAATTAGAAGATATGAGTGACCTCTAAAAGTTGGTTTTAAATAAATTCACAAATTTTGGAACAAAAAGTCTATCAAAAACCACTTTTTGAAATTAAAAAAAAAAATGTTTCACATATCACACTTTGATAACATTGGGTAAGACTACAATATAAGCCAAAGTGGTTTAAACTTTACATGGGGCCTTTAAGATAAAAGACGGGGTGCAAACTTATTACCACTTCTCCATGAAAAATATTAATTCATCTGATATTTCAAAATCAATATAATGCTTTCATTATTACATATTTGTGTAGACTTAGTAATTTGTTGACCGATATAATTCAGCGCTGTAATCATGAATAGGGTCAGTACTGAATTTTAGTGTAAATGCTGAATTACTGTAAGCAAGCTTTTTTACCCATTTGCATCTTGCGCATCCCTACATCTTAATATCCTAATATATTACAATTTAATGAAATATAACAGCACAATATTTTCCATTTATTTTGATTATAAAGTTGGATAACATTTGATAAGTATAAAAGTTGGTTTTGGAGCATTTTCATAGCCACATTATATGGAAATATAAAAAAGTATATTCTTTCAATTTGAAGTATGATCTGAATCAATTGCAAACTTCATATTTGCACATCCAATGTGGTATACCTTTTTGCTTGTGTCATATTGTCAATTAAGTTAGGGGTCTGTTCCGAAAAAATACTTGAATAGGAAGTTGATCACTGATAAATCAAGATTTTGCTTTACCCAAAACATAATTTTACTGAGACTCAAGCTGTCATATAATCATGTAAGACTAAAGTTATTTTATTTTATTTTTTTTTAATTCATTTATTCATTCTTCATACATAGCACAGCAAATCATACAAAGAAAAGCTTGACAAGGCAAAGGGATCTTCTGATATGCCTAAAATAAGACTTGTTGAATGAAGTTGATTTGATTCAATTACTCAACACCACTGGATTTCCAGATAGATAGAGTCCTATATGATCGTCACAGTCTCAAAAAACATAGTCATTTAAACAAAAATCATTTGTATCCCTTAATTCATCTTGCTTGTTTCTTGTAATGAATTTGAAGGTTTGGCACATATTGTTAATTGTTTGTTCTAGAATTTGTCCATTATTTGTCCATCTCCATCACATAATCATAGGCATCCGAATCATACATATGTTCCACTCCCAATCCATCAATGAGGCGCATATATCTTTCCCTACATATTGCGAGGTTGAAGTTGGTAATTGCTGCTACATCATGTGTTGAAATAGAATCAGTGTTTGTGAGTTTGGAATATTTTTCATTTTCGCATTGTGTTGATTTGTTGTCGGATTGTTTCTTGATGTTGACACTGCAACCTCTGTGTTTTTTATCCAAATTGTTTGTTTTAGTGGCGACATGTTGCACTTTTATTTCAGTTGCACTTGATTGGTGTATTTTTTGTTTCACATCTGTTTGCATCCCAACATTCACTTTTTTTATTCTGTCTCCAGGATTTCGCAATTGCAATATTGAAGTAAATCCACTGTCATAGTCACCTTTTTTTGCTGTGTCAGTTTCATTGTTATTGTTTACAATTTCACTGTTTCCTTTAGTTCTGTTTTTAAACAAGTCTCTATTTAGTACAGGTGTAACAGGTGTTGACTGTTCATATAATCCTAATTCATTTTGTTCATGGTGTTTAGGTTCACTCAATAGTTTTTTGTTAGAATTGTAATCACTAATCCTATTAGCATCTCTTATAAGTCTACTTGGTGACTTGGTACTGGTTTGTGACCTTGGGTTGCCAAAATGGTGTGCTTTATATTCCAATGTAATAGTAGTTCCATTGTTTGTTGAATTTATCTTGTATCCTCCTAGAATGCACCCTTCCTCTTGTAACTCACTAATCAGATGCTCAACAATCTTGGGAAACATTGTTTCTTTTTAATTTCTGCAATGTTCAATACATTTCACTGATTTTTACCTTTTTTCACGAGCACTTTTTTCCCCTGTTTAAGACTAAAGTTATAGTATCCCTTTAAATGTGATGTGACGTCATAGCCTCGTTCGGAATTCAATAAATGACTGATCAAGTAGAAACTGTTTCTGTTCGTGCTCTCTTACAACTCGGTATTTATTGTCTCATTACACAAGCGACCAGTGTTCTTCTGAGATAATAGTGACTATGATTATATCCCGATATTCCCACGATGAAGATATCGGGATATGATTATATCCCCATGTTGGGTCAATACAAACTTACATTTAATGCCCAAAAAATTAATTCTGTCAATTGAGGTATTTTTCTCAAAATCTTATATTGCACCCCGTCCTTTATAAAATAGTGTTTCTTTATTATTTGGGGTATATTTTTCTTTTAACTGGGTTCGCTCTGGTTTTGTTATTTTCATTTCTATTTGTAGTCATATTTATAAAGAATTGTTTTAATTCTAGGCGACAAATGAAACCACTGAACGAAAAGAGGTGCTCATAACAGGAGATACAGAAGTTAGGAAAGATCAAACAGAAGGTGAGTGGGCAGTATTACCCCCTATCGCACCAAACTAGTTCTTACCCGTTCTTACCAGTCCTACGAAAACGTCGTAAAACGGGCTCAATCTGGTAGTGGTCGGGAAATATGTCTAAAATAATTAGCTACTTCGTTCATAAGCAGTATTCGATACGTCCATCTCATTCCCAGATTGTTCAGATCGCACCACGTCGGTAAGCAACGTCGTATAACACGTCCCTTAGTCTAGAAGGTCATCATGACCTGATTACAGAACGGTTTGGTCGCCATCGAATTTTGAATCGATCCAAAATTCTAAAATCACCTTCCCGTCTGAGAACATTCGTGAAGTTCGTAAATAGACAGTAAAAAAGTTTCAGCTACGTTCATTCCGTTCGCACCAGTTTTGAAGAACGCAGTGGCGACTTGTTTGGTGTGATACCTATATTTTTGCTAGCTCGTTCATAAGCAGTCTTAAATACGTTCTTAATCAGTTTAAACCCGTTTGCAATTAATTCTACCTCGTTCTCAATACGTCCTCAGACAGTTCAACTCGTTGTTAAAACGTCCCTAGTAGGATTGAAGTACGACGGTTCCGTTCGTAGTACACGTATGTCCAGCTCGTCGTTAGTACTTTGTCACTCGTTCTAAATGTAGAACGTATCGACCACGAGAACATTTTGAGCATGCATTAAGTTCTAGAGGACTTACCCTTTCGAATACGTTCGATGAACTTTGTAAATAGACCCCAAACGGTTCTAAGTACTTCCAGTCCGTTCGTACACAGTTGAAGCCCGTTTTCGAGAACGTAGTGAAAACTAGTTTGGTGTGATAGTAGGGTTAAAGACAACTTTCTGAACCTCCCGGTTGCTTATTAGACATAAGGCAAGTCACATCTATAGGGCTTGTTAATCGAATCCTTGTCCAACCAGCTAATAATGATGCTCGGTGGGATAGTATTTAAGTTCATAAACATAGCAAAGGCATATGTGATATATCATACATTACAGTCAGTGAACATGGACTGAATAGAGAGCATGCGATATAGGTTTTGTGCCAAACCTTTACTGCAACTTCCAACATTTAAATGACGTAAACACCAATGGAGAGGAAACCAGGAAAGTTTATTTTATTAGAAAATGTTTCCTCGTTTCCTAATCAAGGAAATGGATTTGTATATATGCCAGCAATGGCAGAATTAATTTTGTTCTATCAGACTGGCCGAACATAAGATATTAATTTATGTTTCCTGGTTACCTTTATTCTACTTTATAATATAAACACAGTTTCTTGATATTACGAGACTCAAAAGATACAGCTTTAAATCTGGAATATGGCGACAGTGCTTCGCGGAAACATCCTGAACGAAAATACAATATGCATATACAGGTTCCGGGGCAAATCACACAACAAAGGACGATTCTCGGTTTGGAGAATGAAGTTCATCAATCTAAATGAGCATTATCCCTGCTTCGGACAAATTTGATTTTTTACATAATATAGATTTGAATGTCCTCTTTTGAATAGTCATAATTTAATTTGGGTAATATTTCTAGATTTTTCGCAAAAATATATTAGCGCAGTACACTGATGAACTTCTTTCCCCAAAATCGAGACTTGTATTTTATTGAATCGGTCTAATTGAGCGTTATCCCTGCTTCAGACCAATTTGTTATTTTTACATCTTGTAGATTTAAATGTCCTCTTTTGAAAATTCATAGTTTAATTTGGGTAATATTTCTATATTTTTCATGAAAAAAATTATAAGCCCAGGAGACTGTTCTCCAAACCGAGAATCGTCCTTTCTAAGTTGTAATCATATTGTCGCGTGCCAGACCACCGCCGAGGACCCATATGCTCCTTCAAAAATGGTATGGTTGCGATTGAGGTTAGACCAGAGTTAAACGTCTCCTTGCCACAGCTTCAAGCAGTGCTTCTTTTTTCCTGGAGTATCTGTGCTCTGAACATATACTGCACCTTCTGGAGTATCTCTGATCGGAATTAACACACACCTTCTGGAGTATCCCTGCTCTGAGATTAAAATACACACCTTTTGGAATATCTCTGCTCAGAGATATAAAACACACGCCTTCTGGAGTATCTCTGCTCAGAGATATAAAACACACACCTTCTGGAATTTCTTTCCTCGGAGATATATGTAATGACCTTCAATAACAAGTCGCTACTACAGTCTCAGCTGTAGTGGCTAGCCTTTATGGCTCAGGGGTAGAGCGTCTGACTCAAGAGCGGGAGGCCCTGGATTCGATTCCCGTACGAGGCATTTAATTTAGCACATTCTCTTTCGAGTCTAGTATCTGGCTCGGTACACTACAGCTCCCCGACGAGCGTGCCCAAGGGTCGTTACATTGGTGTCAGAAGTGGGATTGCCCTTGTGAATCAGTTACGACGGGACGTCGTCTTCTAGGGGGGATGTAGTAATGACCTTCGATAGCAAGTCGCTACTACAGTCTCAGCTCCCCGACGAGCGTGCCCAAGGGTCGTTACATATACATTTGTAAAACACACACCTTCTGGAGTATCTCTGCTCGTAGATATAAAACTCAGGAATGTAGATACATATGGAGATTAGACCAGAGTTGAATATCTCCTGGAAGTAATTTAAGATGGCAGATCAAGAGGAATGCTGGGTAGAAGAAGAGTGACGTCAAAACATGGCTGCTTAACACTATGATCCAATATGGCGATCACACTGATCAAAATTACATCTCTACATTGTACACACGCGAGCAATTTAACTCTACGAGTCAACTGACTTTACATATAAAAAATGGCAAAATTAACAAATGAAATAATACAACAATTTTAGAATGACATTGTCCGTGTTAAATGAAATAACCAAAGAAACACATTTTGCCACAGTATTTTGAAACTGGAACTTACAAGATACACTTGCCTCCCCAGTGCTTCACCTGACTTGTACAAGGACAAGCTTGCGTATACGTTTTTCAAATAACTTATATTGAAAGCTCTGTAATAACTTACATCGAATGCTCTCTAATGATAGTAATTGACGAACATCTTTTAACAAAGAGTCTTTATATGTATATTTTGTTGTGCCTGTCACATAAGTTTTCCAATTGCTTTTTGTAAAGTAAATGTAGGCTTCCTCTTAATTTACAATTACAAGTAAATTTCTTTTTTTTGTAATTCATGTTCTAAATTCTGACATCTAAATTTGACATCATAAAGCAATTGCTTTTGGGATTATTTCAAGAATAAAATGTAAAAAGCAAACCCCATAAATCCGAAACCATGATCTAATGTGAAAAGTAACATTGGAGATTTTAAGCAATGCAAATAACATCGACATGTCAACCTGTACTTAAACAGGCGCTTTACAAATGCATGTAACATATTTGGAGCTAAAACCTAAATGATATTTATGATATTTTTTATCAGTATATTATTCAAAGGATATGAGTATAATTATTCCCCTTGACAACGTGCAAATCTCCCGTTCTAAACACATAACTGAGGCTTGTTTTTTACGCATGCTATACACATTACTGTATTTATTAATTGACTTTGCATTTACGGTTATGTTGTGAAACCCCGCTAGTTTAAAGTCTCTATTGTCTAATACCCTCTTTCTCTACCATTCAATAAAGCGACGTTCACACCAACGGCACTTTGATGGCGCTTTAAAGCCGCTTGTAAAGCGGCACCAAAGCGTAGCAAAGTTTGATTAAAGCGTCGGGGTCGTAATAGGTCGTAGAAAATGTTGGAGTAAAGTGGGATATTTGGCAAGAGCGCCAAAAAATTTTAAACAGTTTAAAAATTTTGGGTGCTCTGTTATGAATTAATTAAAGCGCAGAGAGCGTATCAAAGCTTAACAAACCGTAACAAAGCTCAGCAAAGCTTGACCAAAAGCCCAGGAAAGATTAACAGAGCTTGGTTCAAAGCAGGGACCCCAGTCTCTTCACGGTCTGTTACCATTTGACACGCTTCGTTAAGATGTCTCAAGATTTGCTATGATTTGGCATGAAGATCTGACAAGAGGTCAGATGCTTTCATCAATATTTGACACTCTTTGTTACGCTTTCATGAAGGACTCTCAAGCTGTCCAACGAAATGAAACGCTTAAATCAAGGATTGAAACGCTTTGTTAGGCTTTGTTACGCTTAAAAAGCTTCTTGACACTCTCTCACGCGGTGCGACAAACATCATGTCTTCTCCAGATAGGTCATGCTCTGATCCATTTGGAATTTCTGGATCTTGTTGTTCTGCCATCATGTTCTCGAGTCAAAGATGCAATGGTTTTATGGATCTTCTGCATCTTTATATAGCCGTTGAATCAAAAGTGGCATGAAATCGGTGATCTCGACATTTTCCATTGGTGACAGAGCTCAACAGAGCATAACAATGCACAACAGAGCTTGGAAATCGTATCAGAGCCTGATCTAAAGCGTCATTATGGCATCAAAGTGTAATAATATATATCAAAGCTTATCAAAGCATGATTTCAAGCGTAACAAAGCCTGGTCGAAGCGGGATCAAAGCGTGAGGAACCGTAACAAGTCGGGAAATCAGAGCTTATCGGCGCTTTGCTCGCCAATTCAAAGTGTGGCATTCGCCGTTGTAGTGAACATAGCTTAACCAATGTAACAATCTAAGACCACAACACCAATGACATTGCATTTATACTGACTTTATCACAAAACAAGTTAAAGATTAAATTCAAATGATGTGGAACAGGCAGACTCTGTGTATTCCAAACGTTGAAATATGATTGCAGATCAGATTTTGCAACACATTGAAGCAGACATTTTGATGAGGAATGGAACAGAAGAGAGAAGTAGAGATGTAAGTTATTCAATATACTTTAATACATATTATGGACTCTAACATTTTTTGGAAGTTTGGAGCCATTAAACTTCATTTATAAAATATTATTGTAAGTTTTGTATCATTTAAAAAATTTAATAAAAGCCTAATAAGAAAGGAAGGGAAGTTTAGACAGATAAAACATAATATCTGTGTTTTATGTCTTTAGTATGTACAGCAAAAAGCTTATTTTGAATACAGATAACTTTCGATATCGATGAGCAATACGAGAACAAACTTAAAACGGTACTGAGCAAACTAAAGCATGAAGAAGACATACGACGGGATGAAGAGGATGAGAGGCGGGAGGAGGAACGTATGAGGAGGGAAGATGAAGATAAAATAAGGCAAAACGAGGATGAAACTCATAATCAGAGGATGAGTAATGAGGTAAATACAATTTACGTGTCATTCAATCTGTCATACGTAAGAACAATTTCTAAAAATGCATTATGCAGGGTGTGCATTATTTTCATTTCAATTGTTATTTTTGTGTTTATTTGAATTGTCTATCAAATCATAGCATTGGTGATTCATTTTGTGTCAGTATCGTATCAATTGAATATAAACACAAAACACAGAACAATGAAGGATTTTTCAAGAAAATTTAATCATCAAGAAGATCTGACAGTCTCACTGGCTAACTGTTTTCACAGAAAACTTGTTTTATATTAGTACTATTGGGCATACTAGTTAAATAGCGCCCCCGAAGACCCCTTAGAAAAAAATGAAAAATGTCCTTAAAATACCCCCAAAAACAAAAAATAAGGAAAATACTTCAATTATAATAAAATGCACCTTATTATCTAGTAAAAATAACCAAAATAATACGATAGAATAGATTAAAATTCGATATAGTTGAAAATACGTTAATATTCACTAGGAAGAAGTGTACTATATAACTAGTTAAATAGCGCCCCTCCTCCATAAATCCAATGGGAAATTAACACGTGGGGGCGCTATTTAACTAGTTATATATAGGAATCCAAACCTTTTCAATAATCATTTATTATCCACAAGGAAGAAGTGTACTATATAACTAGTTAAATAGCGCCCCTCCTCCATAAATCCAATGGGAAATTAACACGTGGGGGCGCTATTTAACTAGTTATATATAGGAATCCAAACCTTTTCAATAATCATTTATTATCCACAAGGAAGAAGTGTACTATATAACCAGTTAAATAGCGCCCCTCCTCCATAAATCCAATGGGAAATTAACACGTGGGGGCGCTATTTAACTAGTTATATATAGGAATCCAAAACTTTTCCAAAATCATTTATTATCCACTAGGAAGAAGTGTATTATATAACTAGTTAAATAGCGCCCCTCCTCTATAAACCCAATGGGAATTGAACACGTGGGGGCGCTATTTAACTAGTTATATATAGGAATCCAAATCTTTTCCAAAATCATTTATTATCCACTAGGAAGAAGTGTATTATATAACTAGTTAAATAGCGCCCCTCCGCCATAAATCCAATGGGAATTTAACACGTGGGGGCGCTATTTAACTAGTTATATATAGGAATCCAAACCTTTTCAATAATCATTTATTATCCACTAGGAAGAAGTGTACTATATAACTAGTTGAATAGCGCCCCTCCTCCATAAATCCAATGGGAAATTAACACATGGGGGCGCTATTTAACTAGTTATATATAGGAATCCAAACCTTTTCAATAATCATTTATTATCCACTAGGAAGAAGTGTACTATATAACTAGTTAAATAGCGCCCCTCCTCCATAAATCCAATGGGAAATTAACACGTGGGGGCGCTATTTAACTAGTTATATATAGGAATCCAAACCTTTTCAATAATCATTTATTATCCACTAGGAAGAAGTGTACTATATAACTAGTTAAATAGCGCCCCTCCTCCATAAATCCGATGGCAAATTAACACGTGGGGGCGCTATTTAACTAGTTATATAAGACACTCCTTTTAACAATTTATTATACAAAATTAAACAAAATTTAACTTATTCTAATTTTTTGTTTCCAATATATTTATCAAATATATATTTTTATTACACACCCAACATTCATGCCTTGCATTCTAAAAGGGATTATTTTTGGGGCCTAATATAAAAAAAGGGGCAAGGTATTTTTGGGGGAAAGTTAAATAAAGTTAAGATTATTAAAAAGGGGCGCTATTTAATAGTGCCCCTTAATGCTAAAATCATAATGTGAGGGGCGCTATTTAATAGTGCCCCTGAATGCTTAAATCATAATGTGAGGGGCACTATTTTATAATGCCCCTCATATTATGTTGTCAGCATCCAGGGTCACTATAAAATAATGCCCCCAAACATAAATTGAGGGCATGATAAAACATTTTGTTGGGTCATTACTTTATAGTGCCCCTGGATGCTGACATCATAATGTGAGGGGCATTATAAAATAGTGCCCCTCACATTATGGTTTTAGCATTCAGGGGCACTATTAAATAGCGCCCCTTTTTAAGAATCTTAACTTAAATTTAACTTTCCCCCAAAAAATACCTTGCCCCTTTTTTATATTAGGCCCCAAAAATAAATCCCTTTTAGAATGCAAGGCAAGTATGTTGATTGTGTAATAAAAAATATTTTGATAAATATATTGAAAATAAAAAAGTAGAATACGTTTTGTTTCATTTCGTATAATAGATTGGTAAAAGGAGTGTCTTATATAACTAGTTAAATAGCGCCCCCACGTGTTATTTTGCCATTGGATTTATGGCGGAGGGGCGCTATTTAACTAGTTATATAATACACTTCTTCCTAGTGGATAATAAATGATTTTGGAAAAGATTTGGATTCCTATATATAACTAGTTAAATAGCGCCCCCACGTGTTAAATTCCCATTGGATTTATGGCGGAGGGGCGCTATTTAACTAGTTATATAATACACTTCTTCCTAGTGGAGAATAAATGATTTTGGAAAAGATTTGGATTCCTATATATAACTAGTTAAATAGCGCCCCTACGTGTTCAATTCCCATTGGATTTATAGAGGAGGGGCGCTATTTAACTAGTTATATAATACACTTCTTCCTAGTGGATAATAAATGATTTTGGAAAAGTTTTGGATTCCTATATATAACTAGTTAAATAGCGCCCCCACGTGTTAAATTCCCATTGGATTCATGGAGGAGGGGCGCTATTTAACTAGTTATATAATACACTTCTTCCTAGTGAATAATAAATGATTTCGGAAAAGCTTTGGATTCCTATATATAACTAGTTAAATAGCGCCCCCACGTGTTAATTTCCCATTGGATTTATGGAGGAGGGGCGCTATTTAACTAGTTATATAGTACACTTCTTCCTAGTGAATATTAACGTATTTCCAACTAGATCTATATCAAATTCTAATCTATTCTATCGTATTATTTTGGTGATTTTTACTAGATAATAAGGTGTATTTTATCATAATTAAAGTGTTTATCCTTATTTTTATGTTTTTGGGGGTATTTTAAGGATATTTTTCATTTTTTTCTAAGGGGTCTTCGGGGGCGCTATTTAACTAGTATGCCCTTTATTTTATTATCAAAAGAAATTATGAGAATATGTTCATCTTTTAGAAGTTGGGCCTAAACTGATTTAAACATAAGCCTGATGGTCTGTCATGGTCAGTGACCATGACTGACCACTTACATAAGTATTTCGCCTTACGGCAAGGAATGTAAATTGGGAGATGGTATTTTCTAATTCAAAAACAACATAGATTTTAACTATACCACACTCCCGACGTTTAAATCAAACGTCCACGTTTGATCGGAAATACAAACATTTTTACAGAGTAAAAATCAGATATAAAATTACATAAAACTACACAAAATATCATTACTCTCATGCATTATGAATGTTATACAGAAAATTGTAAAATACATATTTGTTTTAAATTTAGTCTAATGAGACTACCATTTACTATTTACTTAAAAGACACGTGTGTGTAGACATAGAAGTCATAACACTTTACAATTCATATATCAACTTAGATCATTTTCAATTGTTTATATTTAAATAAAACAATACCTAGGTTCCTATTTTTTTTTTTATTTACATTTAAAAAAACATCATCGTTTACCATTCTAGTAAAACAATCAGCAGTTCACATTGTTGTTCACAATTCTAGTTAAACAATCAACATTTTATTAATCTGACAAACGTTTTATGTTTGTCCTACAGCAAAATCTCAAATATATTCTCTTCTTTTTAACTATACCACACACATATATTGCATGACAAGAATATGTACAGTTTATACAATCACAATTATGCTCCAGGGGAAGCATGGGCATAACGTAATCATACAAACAAATATTTTACAATCATATTATACTAAAGGTTTACATATACAAAAGGTCACATGACAAACATTATCCTTGCCCATATATAAAATATTATGTACATGCATCTTGGGTTCTAAAATTAGCAAAACAAAAACGCAAAGGTCTAGTCTTGAGATAAAGATTTAACAAAATGTACCGGTGTTTTGAGCTTGGTACCATCTGGTCTTTTCAGATAGTAATTGTTACCGTCCCTCCGAACAAAAATGGACCATGATAATGTTTTGAAGTCAGTTTGAAATTCAAAAACTTCTTCTTGACGGGATAGTGATAAAATACAACTTGATTGGTCACATTTCAATTCGGGTTTCATTTTTCGCTTTACTCGAACGCATGTGTTCTCTACTCATTTCAAGGTTTTTCTGAGCACACTTTTGAGAAAATTCCACATTTGAAGCGATTTCTTTAATAAAGTCACCATATTTATTTGCCTTGGCTTGATCGCCATGACCTAACTCGACATCTACCAGTAAGTTTGTTTCCCTCCCATGATACATGAAAAACGGGGTCATTTTGTGTGATATATGATGGGTAACTCTATAGCTGAAGACTATCTGAGGTAGAATTTTATCCCAATTATCTTGACCTTCATTGATGTACATGGATATTGCATTATAAAGGTACTCATTGAATCTCTCGGTTAACCCAACCGCTTTATGATTTCTCGGGACTGCTATTACATGATTAATCTTCAGCAATTCGCACATATGTTTTGTGATTATCGCGGTAAACGTACTCCCCCTATCAGAAACAATATTTTCAGGTACACCCTTTCTGGTACATATTTAGATGATATCAGTTTGGATGTTGTCAGGGCTGTTGTATCTTTGGTTGGATAACACTCTGGATATTTGGAATAATGGTCCATCCATATTAGCACATACTCTGACCCCGTATCTTTGCATTTGGGTAAAGGACCAATATAATCTACTATATCAGGTATTGATTGATATGTGTACTATTGATGACATGCAAGGGAGCGTGTAATATCTCTAAAGTTTTTACGCTGTTGACATTCCCTACAGCTCAATGCATACTTTTCTAATTTGTTGT